AGCAGGGAGCCCGATGCGGGACTCAATCCAGGGACTCCAGGATCATGACCTGAGCCGAAAGCAGTCGCTTAACCAACTGAGCCACCCAGGCGCCCCACAGTTTCATTTTTAACACCTTTTCCATAGATAAAAGATACTCATATCATCATATCATCTAGTCCCTGGTCTTTTAGTTTATTTTCTGAATCAGTTTCAAGTCTTTCATGTTTATATGTAAAACATTATAATTCATACATACACACATTCACATACATCTTTTAAATAACTTTGACTTTAACTGTGGCCTTTTTAAAAATTAGAATCTATCATGTATAACATATAGTGTCTTAGATTTCTTTCCCCACATAGTTCTGGTGCTGTGGATATAGAATCATAGTGATATATTAGGTTTAATTTGTTACATAGAAGAAATGGGTTCATGGTTCTCTATACGTTTAAGTATTTTAAATTACTTTTTCTCTCCTTCTAGCTGTTCCCTTTCCTCCAACCCAACGGCTTACTTTGAAGGAAGTATTTGAGAATGGGAAACCTAAAATTGATGTTTTGAAAAACCATTTGGTGAAGGAAGGGCGACTGGAAGAGGAAGTAGCCTTAAAGATAATCAATGATGGGGCTGCCATCCTGAGACAAGAGAAGACTATGATAGAAGTAGATGCACCAATCACAGGTATGAGAAGTAATTGCACAGTGGTGCTTAGATTTGAGCTAATTTGAAAAATGATTACAAATAACCAACTAAGATATGTGATAATTTTTCCAGGAATTATGAGATAGTCTTGGATTATTCAGTATATTTGTTGTTCATCAAAGAAATACAATTTAAAATACCTAATATTTACAGTAGGACTATTCAGTATTGATTGACCACAATTATAGAACATTCCAGTCAAAAGCTAACGTGATTTAAGTTAAAAGTTAAACTGTGATCTTATTGGTGTACTGCCCTTTCTCTTTAAGACATATTTTTCATCTCACCATGTGTCCTTTTTTCCCTAGTGTGTGGTGACATTCATGGACAGTTCTTTGACCTGATGAAGTTGTTTGAAGTTGGAGGATCACCTAGTAACACACGCTACCTCTTTCTGGGTGACTATGTGGACAGAGGCTATTTCAGTATAGAGGTAAAAATTAAACTGGATACGTTGGAACGATCATATTGTCTTTTTTTAGAAATTTGCTTTCCATTCTTCAGCAGAAGAAATTAAAATGAGAACACTGGCAGAATTTGTAAACTTCATTACTTTCAGTATTAAAGTGTTAGAGAAATGTTTTCATTTGTATAAGAAAGATCTATTCCTTCTTGTAGCTTCTATATGTAGTAGACATATAGAAAGCTATATTAACCCACTTTGCAAATAAATTAAATGCTTACCAACCTTTCCTCTGAAGATAATGTATAGGCTGTGTGTAAATGACATAAATTGCTATTCACCCTAAACAGGGTTTGAATTAGCAGATCTTCATTATAAAACCATAAGTTGCTGGGCTACAATTTGCTTTTAGATTAACTTCCAATGCTAAATAAGCAGGCATTTAGCTTATTGTAGGAATAATTTTTTATATTATTGCACATAGTAAGCAGTTAACAAATGTTCATTAAAGAAAAAAATGATTAAAGTTAATGAATTTAATGGAAACTCACAATTAAATATATTTTGAAAATTGAATGATGAGAAAAAATGATTATAATTAAAACAAAGTAGGGGCACCTGGGTGGCTCTGTTGGTTAAGCATCCCAAATCTTGATTTCGGCTCAGGTCATGATCTCAGGGTTGTGAGGTCAAGCCCCATGTTGGGCTCCATACTGGGTATAGAGCCTGCTTGGGATTCTCTCTCCCCCTCTCCCTTTGCTCCTCCCACTGCTCTTTCTCTCAAATAAATAAATAAAATCTTTAAAAAAAGAATTAAAGTATAAACTACTGTGTATAAAAGATAAAATTATTTTAGAACCTAATGCAAAGACTTGAGTACAGTGGAACCAAAGCACGTTCATATTTAATGTCCATTGATTTAGCTACACATGCTTGGCAAATAAAAGAGAAGTAACTTTTGAATAGTACAGGTAATTAAATTTATAATGTGCCCAGAATAAGCATGAGATGAGAAATTGAGTCTGCATGATGTTCTTGTAGTCTTTAGTTCTGGTTCTCCCTCATAGTGTGATAGTCTCACTGTACTTAGTGTGTTTCTGGTGGTTAAAGGTTTATTGTTTGTGCAGCATCACTCCTAGATCCAAGTCAGCTATCTTACCTAGTGCTCATTCAAAGAAGCAGCAGTTGTTCTATAGCTGCAGAAAAATATACAAGAGAAATGGGTTGTCCTCTTTAGTTAGATGGGTTGTCTAAATTCATGGATCAGAAAAGTTCAGTGTTACCTGCCAGTGCCTCAAATTAATTTAGTGTCATCTATGAGGACAAAAATTAGTGGTAGAAGCTAAGAAAATAATCACGTTTCCCTGCTGCTCAGTAAATTTCCAAGGTCTCTAAGTAGGTACTGGGATGGGTGGAGATGATACCTGCAGACTGTATCATTGAAATGTTTCTCTATTCCAAGTAACCTAAGTGTCCATCAATAGATGAATGGATAAAGAAAGTGTGGTCTGTATACATATATACTGGATATAATAGAATATTACTCTGACATAAAAGAGAATGAAATGTGGCCCTTTGCAATAACATGGATGGACCTAGAGGATATTATGCTAAGTGAAATAAGACAAAGATAAATACTATATGATTTCACTTATATGTGGAATCTACAAAACAAAACAAATGAACAAACAAAACAGAAGTGGACTTATAAACACAGAGAACAACCCGGTGGTTGCCAGAGGGGGCAGGATGTAGGGAGTTGGGTAAAATAGGTAGAGAGGATTAAGAGGTACAGAGTTCCAGTTTTAAGATAAATAAGTCACAGGGATGAAATGTACATCACAGAAAATATAGTCAATAGTACTGTAATAACTTTGTAGGTGACAGGTAATAACTACATTTATCGTGGTGAGCATTGCATATTGTATAGAATTGTTGAATCACTATGTTGTACACCAGAAACTAATATAATATTGTATATCAACTATAGTTCAATAAATAAAATAAAAAGGGAAGCAAACATAGCCTAAAAAAGAAAAGCTTCCTAATTCCTGTTCACATCATGTTTCAGTAGCCAGTCAAATGTATGGATGTTTGAAAGACACATTGAATATTTACTTTTTTGTGTATTTTTTAGCATGAAGACGTTTTAGAGGATGAAGAAAATACAGAACTTACTGAATTTTTAATTTGACATTATATTTAATGAAACAACTTCTTAAAAAGATAATATTGTACCAGATCATCTTCGGATTGTTAACTCACACATTTACAGATAGTTTCAATGCATCAGTATATTCAATAAACACACACTGAAAAAATCCATGATTTTTGTACACATATACTATATTCAGAATATTTTCTGTTAATGTATTTTTTCCTTACTCATCAACAAATGTTTCCTGATTGCCGACTTTATGGTAGGCTCTGAGGATAAAATAATGAATAAGATTCATGCTTTCTATTTTTTGTTTGTTTTCTTTTTAAGATTCATGCTTTCAGGGCATCTGGGTGGCTCAGTCAGTTAAGCGTCCGACTCTTGATTTCCGCTCAGGTCATGGTCTCAGGGTCATGAGATCAAGCCCTGAGTGGCTCCATGCTCAGTGGGGAGTATGTTTGGGATTCTGTCTTTCCCTCTGCCCCTCCATCCCCTGCACTCCCCCCCATGCTCACATACTCTCTCTCTAAAATAAATAATGAATAAATCTTTAAAAAAAGATTTATGCTTTCTATAGGAGCTGACAGTCTATTAGAAAAGATGCACTTATGAACAGATCTTTCAGTATAGTACAAAAGTGTTGACTTAATTTTCTGCAGTATTCTTCATATTAGGACCTAGCGTAGTGCCTGACACATAGGAGACACTCAAAATCAGTATTTGTCAAATGAGTGGATGTTAATAAATCATAGTTTATATTTGGCTTTATCTTCTTATTTGATGTTTCACTAACTTAAAGGGTTTTTCTGGAATAGCTTAAGAGATAAATGGATCAAAACTTTAAAGTGACAATGCTGTTTTATACCAATTTTAAACTAAACATCAGGGTATATGTAGTCTTAGTTGGAAGTCACTTATAAACTACTAAGTTTATAAACTTCTGTAGGCAACAGCTTAGTCCAACATGATACAAGTATATACTTGAGCAATTTTTTTATCAGTGTCCTTGATAAGCATGAGTATGATGTTTTTGTCAAATGAATGAAAATAGGTAATAGAGTCCTTATTACATTTTGTTGTTGTTGTAAATAGTTCATTTTTGTAGAAAAATTGGGAAATGTAGAATCTAAGAAAACAAAAACTTTTATAAGTCAGATATAATCAGTGTTAACATCTTGTATTTTCTTTTTTTTTTTTTTTACGATTTTTAATTTTTTTAAAGTAATCTCTACACCCAATGTGGGGCTCGAACTCACAACCCTGAGACCAAGAGTTGCATGCTCCACTGACTAAGCCAGTCAGGCGCCCCAACATCTTGTATTTTCTTGCAGTCTTTTTTCTTCTTTTACATTTGCATATATCTTTTTTAAAGAAAATTGAAATCATTTTGTACCTTTCCTTTTTGTAGTCTTTTTCCCCCCACTCAACATTGTATTGAAAGCACTTTTCTCTGTTACAAAAATTTCTCCAAAATTGTGGTTAATGGTAAAAATACCATAATTTACTTCACCGTTCTCCTATTGTTGGATAATTAGGTTTGTAGCAGGTACTGCTTGTTGTCCATCTTTTCTCTCCTTCCTTACTATCAAAATCCCTATTTTGTTCAGATAAATGAGATTGGGGGTTCAGAGAGAACCTTTGATTTCAGGAAGGGAGGCCCTTAACCCAGCCTCAGGTAATGAATTCTCATTGGTCTGAGCTTTTTTGATGTGAATGTGCATGCACACACATGCACTTTGGAACATTTGTTTCCAGATGAAAAGACTCTTGCAAGGTGAAAGCTTTTGAGCCCCTATTTCACTATGTCATTTCAAATGTGGGTGTGTGTACTGTAGCAGCCATTTTGTGACCATGAGGAGGTGCTAAGGATGAAAAGCAAACCTCCTGTGAATTACAGATCAAAGAGGCAGAGAGGACATTGTTTCTTGGTGACAATACTGAGCTGGTACACTAAACCTGGACATCTTACCTCCAGACTTCTTGTTTCTTCATAAGATATTTACTTTAGGGCTTAAGCAATAGTTAATTGGATATTTATCACTTGTATCACAAGTGGTCCTTTTCTGGTTATTTCCATTCTGCATATTGCTGCAATTAATATCTTTTTGAATACATTTTTAATAGCATTTCTAATATTTCCTTAGGTCAGATTCTTATAAGTAAAAGAAGTGGATGAGAGACTGAATATTTTAAAGACTTTTGATACATTTGGCCTAGTTGTTTTTACAGAACCTTATTTCACTTTATTTTCTTTCTATACTTAATAACTTCTCTTTCCTTGAGCCTATATGAGAAAATCAAGACATGATGATTTTTTTCATGCCCAGAGCAAGCATTGATCTTTCCTGAAGCAATGTGGGCTTTGATTAGTACACCAGGGACTGATCCAGATGTCACTGATAAAACACAATAGTAAAATTTCACTTATTCCTGAGCTTTTTGATGTTCCTTCTTCGTTTGTATATATTGTAAACTACTTGCTCTGAGGTCGGGGAAGCTAAATTTAGTTTCTTTTAATTGATTTTACAGTAAGAGAAAGGGTTAAAGGGAACCTTTTCATCATAGGATATGTTATAGTACATGTACAGGCGTCACCAAAGAGAAAATGTTATCAGATGTCTAGGGATTATAGATGTTATCCGATGATCAATTGTTGATGTGTTGACATGTTGACAACTAATGAATAATTATTGACATACAGAAAGGATTGTTGAAATGGAGTACAAATTCTGTTCACAGAAATAAAAAGTGAGTTTTGAGTGTCTGAACAGATCTGATAATCATGAGCCTATAATTGAATTGTACAGATAATTGTGCAGTTGCATCCTGATATATAAGGAAATAAAACTTGAGATTAGAGGCCAAGAAGTAT